CTATGATTTTTAGGTTTGAATGTTTTACATAAGCCTGCATATCTTGGAGACTTTGTTCTATTCTCATGATTCTTTTTTTATTTTTATTATCTGCTTGGATTAATTCCAAAACCTTGTCTTCAAGTTTCAAGGTCTTTTTTTCTGCTTGTTCTAGTCTATGGTTAAAACTTTCCACTGCATTTTATAGTTTTCTAAATGCTTCTTTCATTTTCAGAATTTTAGGAGTTTTTTTTTGTCAATGTGTCTATCTCTTTGGAGAATTTTTCATTCATGTCCTGAATAGTTTTTTTTTTTTGAGTTGGAGTCTCACTCTGTCGCCCAGACTGGAGTGCAGTGGCCACTCCCGGCCACCGCAGCCTCGACTGCTGGGCTCTGGTGATCCTTCTGCCTCAGCCTTCCAAGTAGCTGGAATTACAGGCATGTGCTACCATGCCCGGCCGATTTTTTGATTTACTGTAGAGATGAGGTCTCGCTGCCCAGGAGGGTCTCGAACCCGCAGGCTCAGGCAATCCACTCACCTCAGCCTCCCAAAGGCGCGGGATTACAGGCTGAGCTACCGAGCCCGGCTTAGTTTTTTTTTTTTTTTTTTTTTTTAATTCTTTATGTTGGTTTTCAATTTCTTTCTGAAGTTCATTGATCAGTTTTATAAATCAATGTTTTGAATTCTATGTCTGGAATTTCAGAAATTCCATTTTGGTTAGAGTTCATTGCTAAAGAGTTGGTGTGATCTTTTGGGGGGTGTTGGAGAACTCTGCTTTTTCATATCGTCTGAATTATTTTTCTGGTTCCTTCTTATTTGGGTATATGATTTCTTCTTATTTTAGGTTGTCAGGGCATTGATGTATGCTCTGTATGATTCCCATAGTTATATATAGTCTTGGTGTAATGAGTTTTTCAGTTGCCAGCTGTGGCAGCCCTATGCTGTGTACCTGGACTGGCTCACAGTGTCCTGAGTGGCCAGAGTGGCTTGGAAAGTGCTGTTAGCTGGCATTTGGGATCAGACTTTCCCCAAAATTGAGGTATTATATTCAGTGTGGTGGGCTGTACTGTTGACTTCCACTGTGGAGATGGTGCTTTTGGGAGGAAACCAGCTGCAATAGTGGTTGTAACGTTTCTCCTTGGTTACTATTGCTCCAAGGAAGTGCCCACCAGTCTAAGCCGAAAGTCCAAGTTCTCTGTCTGTTTTGACCCTTTGAGGGGAGTGTTGGGCAAAGGAGCTGAACCACCCGGCAAGTGTGCACTCTTGGCTGCCCCTGTGAGGATTAGAAGGGAGTCCCTGGCCACTGGGGTGATGCTGTTGTGCAGAGAAAGCACAAAAGATGTGCTGAGTGGTTGCTATGGTGACAGGTCCCACCTGCCTCTGGCCTTAGCCTCAGCCTTTCTGTGATCTGAATGTCAAAATGCAGCTAGCCTCAAGGCCTCAGGTGTTCTGAGGCATCATATACACAATGGAATATTATGCAGCCATAAAGAATGACAAATATATGAATTTTGAAGCAACTTGCACGGATTTGGAGTTGATCATACTCTCTGCAGCTATGGCATTTGCCCTTGGGCTATGGCATTTGCCCTTGGGGCCATCCCCTTTCTTGTTGGCTGAGTTCTTGGGATGTGGTGGCTGGTATTGCTCAAGGCTTTTCCCCTGTACCTCTATACAGCAGAACATGGCTGTGGGGAAAGGCAGTTTCTCATGAGGGACTGTTGTCTTGCAAGACAGGGGCCCTGGCAAGTTTGTGGAAGGAGCATAGAACCCTGAATTCCCCTCACTCACCTTCCCCACTGTGCGCAGAGGCTGTGGTGAACTGTGGTGGTGAAGGCAAGAATCTGGCTAGTTCCAGCCCATTTTGGTGTTTTTTTTTTTCCTTCTTCTTTGCATTAGTTGGTTGTTTTTACTCCTTTGGGGACTCATGGGGCATGCTGCTGCATCCAGTCCTCTCTGGGTGCTGAGGAAATGCTATCTCAGTTACTCCATAGGAGAAACTCACTCTACTAATTCATTTTAAATGTGTCACAAAATACACACTTTTGATTACACTTATGTGTCAATTTGTATAAAGTATGAATTTATGAAAATCTAATTTTGTCAGTTTCAAAGTTTAGCAGTTCATTTTATCATGAAGAATTTGGTTAAAAGATAGTCTCTGACTCTTATCTTTTACTTAGGAAGTAACAGTGAAGCTCTTAGATATGAGTTGTGGACTCTGTCCTCTGTAAAAATAAGGAATAATTAGTATGCTTTAAGGCAAAAGTCCTTAAATTTTTGCTAGAACCCTGTTATACTCTTAAAAATTATTGAGAAGCCGGGCTCGGTGGCTCAACCTATAATCCCACGCCTTTGGGAGGCTGAGGTGAGTGGATTGTCTGAGCCCGCGGGTTCAAGACCCACCTGGGCAACTTAGCGAGACCTCATCTCTACAATAAATAAAAAATTAGCTGGGCGTGGTAGTGCGCACCTGTACTTCCAGCTACTCGGAAGCTTGAGGCAGAAGGATCGCTGGAGCCCAGCAGGTGGAGGCTGCGGTGGCTGGGAGCAGCCACTGTACTCCAGTCTGAGCAACAGAGTTAGACTCCAACTCAAAAAAAAAAAAAAAATTACCGAGGACCTCAAATTTGCGTTTGTTATTATGTGTGTTTTATGTACAAATGTTTATGGCATCATACATTAAAGTTGAAAATAATTGAAGAATATTTGTTAATTTTAAAAGAATAATATATTCACTATTAACATAAACAATGCTTCTATGAAAAATAATTCTATTTTCTGGAACAACACAATTTAGTGACAAGAGTGGCATTGTTTTACATTTTTGCAAATAGCTTTAATATCTGGCTTTTAATAGAAGACAGCTGAATTCAGTCTATTACAGTGTGTTGTGTTGGTTGAAGTATAAGAAGAAAATCCAGGTATGCATAGATAAAAGGGTAAAAAAGAGAGGACTCCCAGGAACCCCTGAAAATGGCCCTCAGACCACACATCGAGAATCATTGCTTAAGATGTTGCTGTAGAGTTTTAAAGATATCCCCTCTCATTCATCCTTTATTTCTTCAAATATTAGTTGTTGAGGGAGTCATGTGAACTTCTGGAGCAAGGTTTGCTGCTGTTAGTAGTTATGTGGATTAAACATATAGTAGTACTTTTGAAGCTTAGTGTCTGTTTTGACAGTATGATTCAGAACAGCTAAGCAGTTAAGTGGGTGTTGGAGCTGCAGATTGAGACTGCCTGGGTACCTCAATTTACAGACTTTGTAATCTTGGGCAAGTTCCTTAATCTCTGTAAGTTTTAATTTGTTCCTTGTTAACATGGGAATAGAGATGATAGCTGCTTCCTGAATTATGGTGAGGCTTAGTAGGATGTATTTGAATGTCTGGCATGTGGTAAGCACTTAGCAAGTTAGCTGTTAGTATTTTTATTGTTACATCTTTGTTTCCACAAATAGTTTAATGGGTATGTTAGGTAGTAAACACTTTTCTTTATCTGTGTAACTTTTCACATCTTGCTTTCAGTTTGCTTTGTAATACATGCACTTGAGTATACTTTCCCTGACTGTCAACTTGTTTGGAGGTAATCTGAGAAGCCGCACGGCTTTCTAAATACTTGGAGGCCTAGGTGTGTGTGGGTGTAGACATGTAGTGAGTGGACAGAGTCTGCCTTTAGACGTTCCATAACTGGGTTTTCCATATAAGAATTTATTAGAAGAAAATCTTTCAAGGTTAAAGTATGAAATCTTACTGCTACAGTATACCACCTGAGAAAACAGACTTGACCGTTTTTGAGTGATTTTGTCTTATTTTTTTTTCCACTAGGAATAAAATGTCCATGTTAAGCATTTAGCTTTGTCCCTGATATACATTATACACTATTCCCTCTGTACAATTTTATAGATAACAACATCTTCATTTTCACAGGAACTATGCTGGAAAAGTGTTCTAGAATAGAGATTATTTTTCTCTAGTTCATAGTAGATGAGTGCATTGCTTGTGCCTCAGTGTGTTGTGCCTTACCTAGTTTTCTAACAAGGAAACACACATATGCATGTAGACACACACACACACACACACACACACACACACACACACACACACTGCCTTTCCCACCCTTCCCTTTGAAAAGACAGTATAACTTGGGAATTGCAATTTAACATTTCTGATAAAAAATTGTGTTTGTTTCCCCACACTTTATATTGCTTTTCTTTTATGTTTTCGAATACTCTGCGTTTCTTTGAGCCACATTTAAAATGGTTATAAAGAGGCCTGGCTCGGCTGGGAGGCTGAGGAGAGTGGATTGCCTGAGCCCGTGGTTTCGAGAACAGCCTGGGCTACTTGGCGAGACCTCGTCTCTGCAATAAGTCAAAAAGTCAACTGGGCGTGGTAGTGCGCGCCTGTAGTTCTGGCTACTTGGAAAGCTGAGGCAGAAGGATCGCCGAAGCCCAGCAGGTTGATGCTGGGGTGGCTGTGAGCGTGCCACTGCACTCCAGCCTAGATGACGGAGTCAGACTCCCACTCAAAAAAAAAAAGACTGTTATAGTGATACTTTACAGGGATATTGCAGAATTCTCCAGATTGCATTAATGAGGGTAGCCATCTCCAGGTAGGTGCACATGACTGGCGTAGTGGAGAAGGAACATTTTTCCAGCAGAGGGGAGCACTGTTAACTGAAGTAGGGGAGTACTGAACTGACTGTATATGTGAGGTCTCCTAATGCAGGACTTGGCATCTGTTGATGCAATTTATTTCTGCTACCTGGGACCTTTGGTTGCTCAGAGCAGAAGCCCCCTAGAGGTAGCCTAAGGTAAAAGGCAGCATACACTGAGGTTGTCTGTAGAATCCGTGCACAGGACTGTAGCCAGCCGAAGAAGCAGAGCCTGGGGCTGCACACTATCGAAGACTCTGTGTGTTCATCTCTTTTCAGATCTCCTTCATTCTACTTTCTCACTGTGGTGGGTTTTCTCCATTTCCACCAAGAGGAAAATAGTTTCGGCTAGCAATTCCCTGCCTGTGTGTTATAATCCAGCACCCCAGAGAAGGATTAATCTGATCTATCGTAGTTCCTCTTACAGATTACCTGGTAAGGAATATGATTTGTCTAGCTTGATACTGGAGACCACCCCTGGATCTATCAGCTGCTTCTGGGGCTATGATCATGTGCATGCTGGGCAACTCCTGGTACAAAAATATGGCTGGTGGGGGCGGGAGGGGGGCGTGGAGAGATGCAGTAATTCCCGAAAAAGAGATGTTGGCAGGAGAGTCTGGTAGACTGTCATTACTATTTATACTGGAAAGAGAACTGAATTTAGTGAGAGAAGATCTGTGTTTGAGTCCTGGCTCTGCTGTTTTGAGCTGCAGCGATCCTGAGCGTTTCTGTAAATAGGGGTGTGAATCTCAGTGTCCCACACAGTGTCCCGTGCTTAACACATTGCAGGCCGTAGTTAAAAGATCAGTAAGGGTTGTTGCTGTTGCTGCTGTGTTTATGATTACTGGCATTGTTGTAATCATCCTCATCGCTCACTCTGCCTACCCAGTATCATTCTCGAAAGTATCAAATTGGCTAATGTATGGGAAAGCAGTTTAAAGACACACACATACACGTTATGCCTCAATCACTATCTCATAGTCTAATGTCATTATCTTTATTCTTCCTGTGCACCCTTTGATCTCCCAGTTTGTCTCTTTCTAACATTAAGGTCATAAATCTCCTTTCAGAATTGAGTAGCTTTTGTGAAGTTTTTGAATGTTTGATATGTAAAATCCTAGAAAAGCGACAATCTCTAGAATAGGGGAGTGACTGATTTAATCTTCTGTCTCATCTGGCTTTGTTAACATCTTCTTTTAGGGTTCTGTTTCTATGCCAAGTATTGTATTTATGAGACAGAGAATTACCTTTTACTTGCCAACTTGCTATTAGTATGTCATGTGGTGGTTTTGAATTATCAACTCATACTTAAGTAATTATGAGACACAAAGAGAGGAAAAAAAGGAAAGACCCCGAGTTCTCACTTTATGTGCCCTTTTAAGCCATTGCATGTGCTGCCTTCTACTGCACACATGTGGAGGGAGGTGGAGAATAAGATGCAGGGAAGGCTTAGTCTCTAATGGAAAACATGTCTGTGTAGTGCACTCATAGGTCTTTTTCCTGAGTCTGCTTTGGTTACCTTGAGCTTCAGCAGAGCATTGGAGCCTCAGTCTGTCAAACTTAGGAATGTTTACAGAGATTAAAATTGATTCATGGTAAGATTTCCCCCAGAAACCCCTAGAACACACACATTATTTAGAAAACTTTAGAAAATTTTTTTTTTCTATTTTAACTATATTATAGCTTAACCCTCTTCTAAGAGTGTGTGAAAATGAAAAAAAAATGTTCAGTGAAAATTTATTTCAGCCATTTGCTCAGGAATATACTAAGTAATGTTTGAGGTCATGATGTACTATTAAATGTTCACCTGAGAATTGAGTAAATTATTTAATTATATATATATATTTGAGTTGGAGTCTCATGCTATTGCCCAGGCTGGAGGCCAGTGGCACACTCAAGGCCACAGGCTATCCTTCTGCCTCAGCCTTCCAAGTAGCCGAAACTACAGATGCACATTACCATGCCCAGCTAATTTTTTGACTTATTATAGAGACGAGGTTTTGCCAAGTTGCCCAGGTTGGTCTCGAACCTGTTAGCTCAGGCAATCCTCTCACCTCGACCTCCCAAAGTGCTGGGATTATAGGCATGAACCACCATGCCTGGCCTCAATTTTATACTTTTAAATAATTTCAGAACGTTTCAAATGATCAACTGAGCTCATCCTGTTGCTTATAAAAGTAACTGGCACAAAACAGAAACATTAGATTTTAATCAAGAAATGCTATATGAAAAGACCAAACACCTCTTATCAACAGGGTGCCTGAATGAAACGTACTTGTACACCTAACCCTTAACTGTACCCCACAAAACCATAATAAAAAATATTGATTATGAAAAAAAAAAAAAAAAGAAAAGACCAAAATGCTGTTCTGTGCAAGACATTGTCATAACTTGAAATCCTACCAGGGGTTCTGCTGGAATAGGTAACAGTCCAGAAAGACAAATGGCAAGTTTACTACTCAGGGCCTGTCCTCCGGCTGTTGCAGGTCTGCACATGGGCTCCCCCCGTTGGAGCTCCCAGGCCGCACTTCGGTACAACCTTCTCCCTGCTGGTCACCTTGCTTTAGGGTACTGACCTCTCAACTGCTTTCTCTTTGCAAAAAGGGCAGCTTGTGTATTTGAAGAGCCCAGTTTTCTGAGTGTAGACATTGTAAACTTAAATGACCCAGAGACTTTCTGGAGCTTGTGCTGGGTCAGATCCCTACAAGGTCTTGGATTTGGTTTGAAGAGCACAGGAAGTAGGACTGGAGGACTGGAGTAGGTGGCACACCGAGGAGGCGTTACTTTCTTACCCATCAACCGTATACTTTTGCTGCAGCTTTCTTTCTTGGGGGTAGACTCTTCTTTTGACACCTTCCTCTGAGACTTTGTGGCGTTTTGGAGGAATCTGCTTTAAAGTGTGGCAATGTTGATCATTTCTTACCTTTTTAGAAGTGACTTTTCCCTAGGCTGTGGGATAAGGTGCAGGAAGCCCTGGAGTGGTCTCAGCCTAGGGTTCTAGACCTGAGTCTGTGGTCAGCTGGCTCAGTGACCTTGTCTCATTAGTTTGACCTTTTGTTCTTCTTTCTGTAAATTAAGAAGCATGGATAGACTTGTGTCCATCTTTCAAAAACTGTTTCTGTCAAACGCAAGTTCATCGACTAGGTGCTGTTAGTAAAGTAGAAGTTAGACCTAGAAAACATTTAGAAAAATAGACTTACAAAAGTGTAAGTTAGGCCTGGCTAAGGTCTTAAAGGTCATTCTCCAGGGTAGTCTAAACCACTGATTTTACAAATAAGGTTGCTAATTCCCAGAGCAGTGAAGTACTTGATTTAAAGCTGCATCATTTATAGTGAGATTATTTTCTCCACCTTGAAGGAGAGGGAGGGAGGTGAGCCTAGGAAAGAGTATGGACACCATTCGTGAAGTTTGCTTTGTTGTATCTTCATCTGTCCATGCCTTGGTAGAAGACATTTTCAAGTGGCTACAGGTTTGTGTCTGCATGGAACTGAAAGGGAACAGTGAGACAATGAAATTATGTTCTGAACTTGGAATAATAACGAAGTCAGCCTGAAGATAAAGCTTTTGATGGATGCATGCATGAGTAATTCCATTTTGTCGGTTGTATCACAATTTATGCTTCTTATATAATCCGCAGGCTTAGACAACTGATTTATACATCAAGTGACCAGAAAATCCTGCTGTTCTCTGTCCTTTATGCATATGGTTTGACTTTTGTCTAATGATTTTTTTTTTTCAGAAGTCCTGATTGTGATAATTGGGGCTCAGTAGTCGAGGAGAATTTTCACAGTTGCTTATGTGTATGTATCATTTTGATAAGGGCAATTTAAAACCAGGCAATCAGCATTTGGAGGACTCCTGCATTCCTGCTAAGAATAAGAACAGTCTCTTTTTCTCCCAAATCTTCACTACCTGAAATTAGAGTAGATCTTTACTAGGGAGTAATGGGGATGGCTAGTTTAAAAGAAAAGACAGCAAAATTAAGCGAGCTACAGAATGGAAAGAAGGTACTAGTTATTTCATTGTTCAGGATTGTTTGGTGCTTTTACATATTATTAACTTTTCTCTTATGCCTTCCCATTAAAGGCATAGGGATTTCACATAATGTTTCAAGGTTTAATGAGAAAGTATCCAAGAAAATATACAGTAGCATCAAAAACTCCAGCCTGTCATCATCATTTCTTTTTAAGGCTAATGGGGTTTCTTCATTACATTTTTTTGTGATATACTTCCCCAGCCTGAAACAAGGTTTCAAAGGAAACTAACTTGATAAGATAATCAACACTTTGGATGAGGTACTGCAAAAGTCAAATGTAGTCACGCACAGAACAATGGTGTTTCAGTCAACAATAGACTGCATGTGTGATGATGGTCCCATAAGATTCTAATGGAGCAGAAAAGTTCCTGTTTCTTATTGACAACAGGTGGCCATAGCACATCACATTACGCACGTGTTTGTGGCGAATCTGGTGTAAACAAATCTACTTTATAAACTTTACAAAGTAAAAAAGTAAAGTAAATTTTCATTGAAAAAGGAGAAATAGTTTTTAGTAAATTTAGTGTAGTCTAATCGCACCGGGCTTACAAAGTCTACAGTGGTGTACAGTGATGTCCTAGGTCTTCACATTTACCTACACTGACTCGCTCACCCAGAGCAGCTTCCAGTCATGCAAGCTCCATTCATGGAAAGTACCCTCCATCTGATCTTCTTTTTATTTTTTTTTTGAGTTAGAGTCTCACTCCGTCACCCCGACTGGAGTGCAGTGGCAGGATCCCCACCACCGCAGCCTTAACCTGCTGGGCTCCGGCGATCCTTCTGCCTCAGCCTTCCGAGTAGCCAGATTTACAGGCACGCGCTACCACGCCTGGCAGATTTTTAAAAATTTATTGTAGGCCGGGCTTGGTGGCTCCGCCTGTAATCCCAGCACTTTGGGAGGCTGAGGTGAGAGGATTGCCTGAGCCCGTGGGTTCGAGATCCGCCTGGGCAACTTGGCG